GATTGATATATATATATTGACATGCATATCATACATATAATTTATGTATACACCTTTTATAATAATGAACTTTACTCTGTAGTCTCATGGTTCGAATCTGTTTTATATATAAATGTGCTCTGTTTTCATTTCAACTGATCAACGGCGTGATCGTGTTGAGCTATACAAAACATTTGGATTCCATAGGCTACAACAATGCAATCGTGTGCACCTACCCGTTTTCTTATCTCGCCACACATCAACTCTGTTCATTTGAAAGCATATACATTATCCGCGAGCAGTTGAGTATATAAACTATATTCATTCGATAGAGCATAAACTATGATTATACGTAGATCATCTGGTCTCATTCGAATTGTAACCAGCACGGCCTTCCCGAAAAAGTTGATCAAAAGCTGGCGGCATGGAACCCCGGCGCCATCCATCTACAACAAACTTGACATTCTTATTAATATTGCAATTCGCCAGTTTTTGCCATTCTCGGTCTAGGGGTACGGATGATTCAAGGCCCAAGTCGAACGGATTAGCCTGGAGATATATGCGTTCGAGTTTGGGACATTGCCGGACAGTCTCCTCCACACTGCTTTGATTTAAAAAATCTGGTACAGACAAGGTCTGCAAAGCAGGGAATGCGACAGGTGGCAGCATGTATTTTCGTGAAGTGAGATGTGTCAGGTTTGGTAGATGGCACACCTGTGGTAATTCACCCATGATCTCCAGTCTCAGTAGAGTTTTGGATGCGAATCCTTCCACTAATGACCCTTCTTCATTCCCACACCCGAGACAACCAAACACCAACGATGTCACATTTTTGAACTTGTCCAATACGGTACTTGAGAAAAAACCACCACCGCGTACGTTTAGGACAGTGACTGTGCTACTGTTGGCCATGCTCTCAGTCGATCCCATGTCGTATAAGCTCAAGAAATTCAGTCTGGGACACCTCAACAAGGCATCTGGTACCAATATTTTGTACACACTCAGCTTCCTCAGGCTGTCGCTAGTCAGATACTGATCTAAATCAGAATGGTATAACGTGAGATCCTGGAGATTAGGACAGTCCAACAGCAGCTGCAGCACATTTTCTACGTGTGGGAGGCGTAGTCTTTGCAATGTTAATGACTTCAAATCAAAGTTTGTTCCGCCCTCGGTAGTAGATGAAGCCACTTCCAAATCCACCAAGTTGGACACATCGATCTGAAGCCATCTGCTGATGCGCAGAAATTTCAGATCCACCCACAATTCTGAGAGCAGTCGGATCTGCCAGTCACTCCAGTCAGCCATAAGCGATGCGTCTATGTACTGAAGTCGTGGTATACAGAGTGCGAGGGTCTCCATATTCTGCAGGCTATACTCGATGTTTGGGCTAAAATGCCATTTGTACAATCGCCGGAATGGGACAACAAAATCAAGCACCACAGGAAAAGGCACATTCTTGAGACGCCATACTTGGGTGTTAGTATCAGGATCAAGAGCAGGCGTGCACCATCCAGGCAGCTCAGTGTACAGGAAAGGATCACTCGCCAGATACCGAAAGGCTCGGCAGACTAACTTGCATTCGGCCAGTGTCTTTGCATTGAGATGTTCGAAAATCAGCGATACAAGCCCGAAAGGTACAGATACACCATTCATGGTAATACGTGTAGGGATGGAGATATCTTTGATATGGTGGCAAGTACATTTTACTGTGCCGAGTGTCCCGTGATCATGTGCAACCTTGTATTTCTTTTTACCTTTCCAATCAAGTCGATGGGTGAGAGTGTACAGCGGTTGTAGTTGAAGCCCACTGGGTCGGTGATGGGTCCCGTGCTTCATTTCGAAATACTAGAACACAGTACACTTCATCCAATTTCAAGATTGCAACTAGTGTAAATTATCTGGTTCGAGCCTGTCTTGATCACCTTTCTAGAATTTGTGAACATAAGTGCTGTGACTGCTGACTACTGACTTTTGTAAATATAACTATTGGTTCTATCAGTTCTCGTATGTCTTCAAAGTCTTTGAGATGCATCTATGCGAAAATGAAGCCCGCGGCGCTCAAACGGGTTGTATTTATTTTCAAAAGTAAAATATCATTTTTGGAAATATCCGCAAGCCGCAAGGTTTCACTCTCTGTTCTCCGCTAAAACCAAAAGAGTTCTTGTGCGGATTTGCGGGCAATATCAGCGCCAATCTCAAGTAGTATGCCCTACTGAGCCGTGAGGGCTGAGGGATAAGCTGCCTAAGCACCATCACTTATCAGGACTCAGGTGACTCAGGAGTCCAGGACCGGAAAGATTGAGCTCTTTCCCGATTCCGATGTAATATTCGGTTTTTGTTAAAAACAAACAAAAAAAATTCCTTATCTTCTATTTACTCTCTCTTAATATTAATAATAAAAAAGTTAAATATTAGGAATACTGAGAGAGAGAGTCTTCTGTATTCTTCAAATCTTCTTGCGCGTGCTTTGCGCCGTTGCTGTCAGTTTTTAAAAACACTTTCAAGTTCTATTTGGTTTGCGAAAGCGCACTGCAACTTCAATTTTGGTTCACGTTTGGGTCCAGATTTCCAATTCCTTTTTGTTGTTGTTGTTGGGGGGGGGAGGGAAGTCCCCAAAAACCATATCTCTTCTACTGCTGGTATCACATCGTGTTTCTTATATAGGGCCTTTCTATATTCATGTACAGAGTCTCAAATGGGCATAAAAAGTATCACTTTACTCCTTATTTGGAATAAATTAGGGACCTAATAGCTAAAGCTTTTAGTGATAAAATATATGTACAGAGCCTAAATAGAGGTTTTGTAAATACTAATTTTTTGGTGCTCAATTGTTATTGAAAACAAATATCAAATTGGTTGAAAAGTTTTTTTATTACTCGAGTTTGGAATTGAAAGTTTTAGCACCCAGTTTTTGGTGAGGTTTTTACGAGTTTCAAATCGGAGTAAACAATCTACTCTACGAATATATATTTTTGGTTTTGGGTTTAAAGACAGTTACTCATTTTGAAACACGAAGCAAAATTAGAATAAAAAAAAAATGAGTTTAGTCACGAGTTGACGATAGATTTGACACAAGTTCCGACCCAAAAGTCCAAAACACGAGGTACTACATACGAAATTTATAAATATTTACTTCTTGATTACGATAACCCCCCAGTAATAATTTTAATAACCACTCTGTTAGTGTTGACTACTCTCTCTCCAATCTCTTGTTGTTTTTGAGAGTTTTCTAGAGTAGAGAGAGCATAAACTAGAGAGAGTAGTAGACTGTGGAGGCATTCTCAAGATATGGAGCTCAGAAGCCTAACCTCAACCCGCTATGGTAGCTCAGAGTATACGACAAGGGTTAGAGTAAACGTTTCTGATATTTACATCGCATGCGAGAGACTGGGGGACTATACCGTTAAACGGTAAGCCTACCATTGAGAAATGAGAAATCTCAGGGCCATAACGGTATATTAACCCTAAAACGGCTAAACCCCCGATACAGTTATTAAATTTTTATTCTTCCATAAAATTTCTGTATGTCACGAAGACTTTTAATTAGTTCATGCTACGAGTTTAAAGCCGTAGGTATTTTCTAAGGCTAATAATATATGTCATATTTATATCATATTTTCATCATTATTCATCGCCGAGCTACCCAGTACTTAGTACCCACCCTCACGCATGGCGCTATTTTTGGGAATATTAGAGAAAAAAATATTATCGCAAGCAGGGTTCAAAACACATTAGCCAATAGAATCGATTTAAAAGTCGAAGGTTGAAACGCAACTCAAATAACAATTAAAAAAAAAGCACAGTTGCTTGAAAGTGTATTGTCGAAATAGAGTGAAGACTGTAATTAGGCCGGTTTTGCTAACTTTGGAAAATATAGAGGTTTTAGGGTTTTTAAAATATAGAGGTATATTTACGAGTTGGCAAATGGGCAGAGCCGCATACACACAAGAAATTCTGTTCTGGAGCCGAAAAATTGAAGACAGCGTTTTGATTGACGTATATTAACCAGAGCCAGAGTTTTGGATGTCAACCGGAGTAATGTGAGTGAAAGTAATAATAACAATTTTCCCCTCACTACTGTCCTCATTTCTCAGTCCTTTTAGTCCTTACTCCCAGTGACATCGTGTGAACTGTGAAGTGTGAAGTGTGAAGTGTGAAGTGTGAACTCCGAACTGTGAACACTGAAAACTGTGTAGTGTCAAGAAGTGTGACACACCCAAATAAAGTTTCCCGAAAATGCTATTTAGTGCAACGGGTTCTTTTATATTTATTATTATCACAAAATACATAAAAATCAGGAACTGTAATAGATGATTGGAGAAGAACACTAAAACGCATTGTAAGCGAGGCCGGGAGAATAGGGTTTCAAACCATTCACGAATCACGATGCAGTTGCGAGTCTGCCAGTCGCACACTTATAATCTTGCGTACCACATTACCACTGACCCGTGGCCGTGGACCGTGGCAGTGTCACAGTGATGGGTGACCAATTGACCACATCGGCATAAATTTAAAAATGGGTTTAAACATAGAAAACGAAAAAAGCCCCCAACAAAAAAGTAAATGAATTTTCAATTTCATGTGATGCAAATGATCCAGCAGTCCAGCTCCCCCTCGTCCTGCTGTGGGCTCATCACTGTGTACCATCAGTTCTTCCCTCTATGTACTACTATGTGTATAAAACACGGCTGGGGCGCCGCGGGAACTGAAAGCGTCAGACTACAGGGAGGGATTGGTGATGTGTTTATCAAGTGTGGGAATCTAGCCTCTCTAGTCACATAGAACATATAAATCACTTTACATGGGAGGATCGAAGATGGCTGAGCTCGACCTGGAGGTGTTCTGTATTATAGAATAGCAAGCAAGTATTTATTCGATAGCCCTGGATTCGTATATTTGTGTGCGTGAGTGTTTAAATATGCATATGTGTATTATGTAAGTGTGTGTTTATATACAAACCACGTCGTGGTGTCGTGACCTCGATGGTTAGATAGTGAGGTGCAATTTCACCGTGACGAATATTTAAGTGTATGCATGTCTTTTGAATACACATAAAAGCTCTGGGCTTATATGCACTTATATATATATATATATATATATATATATATATATATATATATATATATATATATATATATAATAATATATATATAATAATAATATATATATATATA